TTAGATAATGGTGAAAAGTTCCACGTACCTTCACAGGTAAGTTCTCGTTGTAAGGATTCCTCAAATTCCGGGTTTTGTGGAAGGACAGTTCGCACAACTACAACGATAAGAATTACAATTACTCATTTAAATCATGTGAATTCTGCAAAACAATTTAACTCTTCATGAATTACGAAAGCAACTTATTTCGCTCTCAGTAGCAAGTATCAGAGATCATTATATAACATCAGTAGAACGGATATCAGAACAGAGAAAACATAGACGTAATCAAATATCAAAAGTGTAAGACCATATAAGACACAGTAATATTTTAAGCTAAGACTGAGACTTATGGATTAGAATGTAGCACCTAAAGTGCAAAACCATATAAGGCTTAATTGCATATAGAAGAACAAAACTAAAGAGCAGGGCTATATTAATCAAAAGGAAAGCTTAGGCAAACAGCACACCTTTAACCATTTTACTGCAAAGTTCCGGCCATACTGTTGAGTTCCATGTTCATGTTTCCAGTTTCCTCCACCAATGTAACCACCAATTCTGGATGTCATCTTAGCACAGCCCTATAGTAGCACGTGAAAAGAAAGATATTTAGACTTATACACGCTGCCAACCAAATACACCACTATTAAGAAGAGATTACATAAAGCAACCATTGATACAGATGGACATGTAACTATTAGATTTTCAACGTAAGGAAAGTGGTTTCCGTTTAACCCGATAAACTACCTGGAAATGCCGTGTTCGGTTGACAGAGAATATCAAAATCACATTATCCACAGAGTCAAAAGCTTCATTAAGTTTCGCTTCATTGCTTCTTTGTGTAGCCCATACTCCTTGTTGCACAGATAACTCAAAATTTTCTGAATTGTTACTTTTAACTACAAAATACCTGAAAACCCAAGTTTTTTTTATCAGATATGGCAGATGAAAGTTAGTAAGAATATAACAGAGATACATTCTACATTCACTAATCTACAAAATTAAATCATACAGCATTTTACATCAAACTATAACTCAAGTGAAGCAACTTCAAAAGATGAAACGCTAAACAATCGTTTACGAACTCTATCCTTCTTTGAGATTATGATTCCAGAACAATTGAATGTGAATCCAGAAGATATTGCTACATAAATTACAAAGCTTCTAATCAATTTTATTCACCATAGAAACAAGAAGCAACACTAAAGGCTGGAGCTCTTGAATAGGCAACCAACTCTTAGGGACCAACAAGCAAAATAACTTGTGACCATCAAAACCGAGAGAGAGAGGCCAGGTCATCAATCTGTTCAGACTTTTATATACACAAAGAAAGGAAAAAAGTAGGACAAAGTCCAAAGGCGTCACACTGAGGAAAAAACTCTTACAGGTCAAGACCAATGCAATTACATAATGTTCAAGTGCATAGACATGCAAAAACACAATCGTTCAGAAAGATGAAATGCTTAGGTTAACAACCGAGAGCATGTAAGAGGGATGACGAACATAAGTCATATATATCAAAGGAAGCAAGAAAATTTATGTTGACTAGAAGCTTAAACACTGGCAAAACCAGTCTCCCACATTCCAAATCGTCAAAAAAAAAACAGAATGCAAAGGTCAATTTCTATTATTTGCAGAAGAAAAAATTGAGGAAACATACAATCTCTAAATATACCTAACTATGAAAGAAAGTATCCTAAATCAGGTAGAAAATATATAGAGTTAAATTAGTTTATATAAAGTGTTTAAATTCTGAGTTTTCAAATAGCTAATTACATTTTAAAAGTGATAACTCTCATAAGAAACCAACAGTTCGATAAAAAGGACCAATAACAATGTCTTGATAAATAATTTACACAACCCAATTAAAAACTTTGGAACTCTGAACACACCTATTAACCCCACGAGGCAAAGGATGAGATGTTTGGTCAGCAGGGTTTTGTGTCTGAGTCTGGCTGACCTGATGTTGTGATTGCTGAGGTTGTTGCTGTTGTTGCTGCAAGTTACCTGGCTCTTGCGTCTGAACTTGCACCTGAGGCTTATTATCTCCTGACTGAGGAGCAGCATTTCGTGGCTGATAGAATCTATTTGGTCCGTAATTATACGAAGTTAACTGTTGTATCTTCTGAAGAACTTCCTCAACTGGAGGTGGAGGTCCAGGCAGCTTCGCGTGCCTGTACCGACAATCAGGACCATTGGGACAAAACCCTAGCTTATACCTGTCAAACACAATTCACAAGACAATAAGGCCAATATTCTAAAAATCGGTCTAGGCGATGCCTAATCGGCCGCATAATCGGATCTATAATAAAACGATTTCTAGAGCAAATTCTTCAAATCGGTACTAACAGCCGCCTAATTACTCATACAAAGCACCTAACTACCGCCTAATTACTCATATAAAACGCCTAAGGGCATCTCCATCCCCACTCCATAATTTACTCCAAAATAGAGTGGAAAATGGAGTTATGTTTTTATTTTTTGTCCATTACTCTATTTCGCACTCCATTATTGAGTAAAATAGAGTAAATTATGGAGTGGGGAAGAAGATGCTCTAACCACCCGCCTAATTACCCATATAAAGCGCCTAACTACCGCCTAAATACTCATATAAAGCGCCTGACTAACGCCTAACTACCTACCGCCTAGCGATTTCGTGTACATTGATTAAGAGTCAAACTAAGAATCAACATTCAACACAATCTAATCGCTTTCATGATAAACACAAACAAACAACCATTGCATTTATACATACATATTGCATTCTTTGATATCTTCATTGGTATGCTTATACACACAATCCTGCTCTCTACATTCACCGTGCACCCGAAAAAACCGGCAGATCGGCATACGAGCTTTATCGTACTGATGGAGAAATCCACAAGCGTCGCCTTTCATACACAGACCTCGGAGCCAGTGCCTGCACACAGTCTGACGGAAACTCCGTCCTCTCCCAGCTCCGGCCACCGTCGCGGAGGAGGAATGATCGTAGCTTGGTGTGAGGTTAACGGCGGCGGAGGATTGGTTTTCGAGGGGAGCGACGGGGACGGAAGCTGTGGGTTGGATAGGTCCGGAATCGAGACCGCCTTCGAAATCGAAGCTGAGTCCATCGGCTTCCTCCATTGAATTTACTGAATCTCTCTCTGTTTAGGGTTTCTAGGGCTTCGATTGAGAGAAGCTAACAGAGATTTTGAGCTTCTGATGATGATGTTTTATGAATCGGGATTGGATTGTCGGTTAATTTAGATTGAACCGGTGGTTTAGTGAACCGAAGCAATGTTCAAATCAAGGTTTTACAATCAGGCAGGGGTGATTGGTTAAGGGAGATTGAACCGGTGATTTGGACGGTTTATTGATCGAACCGTCAACAGTGACAACACATTTAGAGAAAGAGAGGAGTAGATGAATCCAAACCACAAGATTCTCAAGAGTGCCATCAATGTGGTACAATTATGATTTAGTAGCTCTTGGTTTAATGTCTACTATCACCATTGTACCAACAAGCTAAGTTCAATAAATCAATAGAAAAAGTCAAAAATTGAGCAAACCCAATAATGTTTTTTTATATATATTAAAAATGAAACAGTAAGGTCTATTTTTCAAATTTGTCAACAGTGTTTTAATGTGGTACTAGAGCTGGACCCGTCCGACCAGACGGGTATTTATTTCATTTTTTATATAAATGAATATTATTTAAATGTCTATGCGTTAATATTTTAAAATATTTATCAGATTTCTAATTTTTTATAAACACAACAATCGAATAGTTTATGTGCTTATAAAATAGTGATTCGTGTCCATTATTAAACTTTTGAAAAATTAATATTGACCTATTGATAGTTTGAATAATTTTGTAACATAAAATTGTTTGCCAAATGTAAAAAGAATTTAAATATTTTGATCAGATATGGATAATATGGTAAGATTTAGATACGTTATAAAAAAGAATATTTGGTTATAAACATTAAACATTGTTTACAAGTAATTCAATATTTCAATTTCAGTATTAAATTTTCTTGTTGAAAATAATTAATAGCAACCAAAATGGTAAAACATATATTTTAGAAATTCTTGAAAAATATATAATCTTAGGTGAGATTTAATTATATTAAAATAATATTCAGTTACAAATAGTTCATGTTGTTTATAAGTAGTTTAAATATATTTAAAATCTTATTGTTCAAAATAATTAATGCTAAGTTAAACATATATTTTAAGAATATTCATAATATTTTTTTAATTTCGAATTTAAACTTGAATTTTGTTCAAAATAATTAATGGTAACGTTATACAAATCTAATATTGTTAAAATCGATTTTAAATATGAATATTCCTAAAAATCAGCTAATTTATTTTAGGGAATATATTAAACACGAAAATTAAGCTAAACTGATTTAGGAAATTGTTTAATAAATAGGAAAAGACAATGATTACTTACATATAAGTTCATTAAATTACTTCAGTGGCATGCTATTGTAAATAAAAATGAAAATTAAGGGGTATTTTATATGGATACTTCTCTTTTAATAATATAGATGTTTTTTAATTTTTTTTTTCAAATTTTGTCAACACAGTGTTTGTAATGTGGTATGTTTATTTATATTTTCTCAAATGTGGTGTGTTTATAATAAAAACTTGGACGTAATTTATTATTTGACCAATAACTAACGCACAATGTTGAACATCGACCACTACTTGAGACGAAAATAGCAAATTTTTGTTTTTTCTTTTAATTTTCAAAAAGAAACTAATATAATTTTCTTTGTGTGTGTCCTCTCTTTGTTCTATCGCTAAGCACTTACCCATCCCGCAATTGAAGGTTCTCTTCGTCGCTCACATCCCCATCTCAGATCGATCTTTTTCTCTTTTTTTTTTTTTTTGTCTACCGATTCATAGATTCTAGGGTTGCGATAACTTGTATCCATAATCGAGTCTCCTCCTCCTTCATTTCTCTGAGCGAAATTTCCCTTAGGGTTTCGGAATCTCTGTGGAGCAATTCGACGTTTTCTTCAACTGGAAAGATGTTCTGGCGAATGGCCGGATTGTCTACGGCTTCCGCCGTGAGCTTTCTTCCTTCTCCCTCACCTCTTTTCCTTCTTACGATCGTAGTTTGGCTTTTCTGAATTTTCGAATTTTTTTTGGTTTTGCAGGTTGAAGCAATTCTGGACAAAGATGGTTTCACGTTAGAGGAGCTTCTTGACGAGGATGAGATCATTCAAGAATGCAAATCCCTCAATGGACGTCTCTTGAATTTGTATGCTCTCTCTCTCTCTCTCTCTCACCACATTTTCTTGCTTTTTCGTTATCTTTCTGGGAGAGGCAAAGGATATGCAGAGCTAGTGATGGTTTTAGTGTGTTGAATGTCTTTTATACAACCAGTGTTAGTATAGCAGATCATTCATGACTGTTGGATTCTTTTTTTTTTTTGTGTTTCAGCTTGAGAGAAAGAGTGCAAGTGGAACAACTGATTAGGTACATCATAGAGGAGCCTCTCGACGATGAGGAGAAGAAGCGAACATTCAAGTAAGTCTTATGGGCAAACGTTATTGTTGTTGGTTATATTTTAATGGATTAACAACTTTTTTTTTTATTTTACATGTGTTCCAGGTTTCCTTTCGTTGCCTGTGAAATTTTCACATGTGAGATTGAAATGATACTGAAAACACTAGTCGAGGATGAGGAGGTAGACATTGACTCTCTATTACATCCTTCTTGTATTTATACTTTGTAAATGGTTAAGGATTCAGGGTTTCTTATGCATTGTGATACCTTCTTTTTTGCAGTTGATGTTATTGCTCTTTTCGTTTCTGGAAGCTAAAGAAACCCATAACTCATTGCTTGCCGGTTACTTCAGCAAGGTATTTAGCATTTATCAAGTTTTTTTAACTATCAGAAAACTCATACAGAACTTTCCCACTCTTTATATATTTCTTCTACGTGTTCTCTAATATATCTTCTATTACTAGGTTGTCATTTGTCTGCTGGTCCGGAAGACGATCCCTTTCATGCAATTCATAAAAGTAAGTTGATTTCTTTCCTGGACTAGGATATCTACTTAAGGATGACTTGAACTTAGTTAGCATTAGCATTTTTGTTCTTATCTTTGTAGAGATTATTGAACCATTAGCTAGCTGCTTCCTTGTACACTTAAGATTATCTGTGTAACTTTAAATTAAGCTGTTATAGTTGGAGATATTGTAAAGATTGGTATTGCTATTTAAGTAATGTAATAACTTTTTCCTAATCAACAGAATCCAATCTAACTCTGCTGATACAATTTTGATAACTGTTACACTAGTTAACACTGCTTTAAACACCATTTAGCATCTGGAGTTTTAAATAATTTGTTTATAATTGACCTCGAGTTTCTCGTGCTATCAGGATCATCAAGAAATACTGAAGCAGCTTGTTGATTTGATTGGTATTACATCGATAATGGAGGTTGGCTTCCCTTTTATTTGTGTCTTAGGAACTCCTGGTTTTGGCTTTACGTTATTACACATATACGTGAGAACATACTGAATAGTTGTAAAATTTATGTGTTACTCTCCTCCAAAGTACTTATGATTCTGTTTACGACATCAATAGTAATAGACCCAGTAATGAGGATGAGAACAATGCTAAATACTGCTAGTATTGCTCTCATTGTTGTCATGGTGATTTTGCTATACAAATTCGTTTTGACGCCAGTGAATTGTTCATTTATTATTGTCTGTAAACAATGAAGGTCATAATTCTTATAGGAGGTAGCCATTGGTTGTAGTTTAGCCATCTGTAAAATACCAGTTTAGAGACTCTGACTTATTGCTTGTTTTCAGGTTTTGAAACGTCTAATCGGTACTGATGAACACCTGTATTCAAACTACTCAAGTGCAATGGAGTGGGTAGAAGATACAGATGTCTTAGAGATGATTGTGGACAAGTTTGGCTCCTCAGTAAGTTTCATTCAGTAGCTAGATTACTTTCCTTTTAATATGGGATAGTCTTATGGCTTTCCTCCTTTATTTTAGATTTATTCAATCTTCCCAGACAATGTTATTTGCTGATATCTTGGAAACTTGTGTTGTATTTTGTAGGATTCTCCCGAGGTACATGCCAACGCAGCTGAGATTCTTTGTACTGTAGCAAGATATGCACCCCCTGGTCTTGCAGTAAAACTTTCTAGCCCCAGGTAGACTTTTCTTATTGGCTATTATTTTCGTATAGTCACTGATGCTTTTGAAATTTTATAGTTTATTGGCTTATTGTATTGATCCCTGTACAACTTGATACAGCTGCACTGGAAGGTTGTTAAAATATACTTTGGAAGATTCACGGCCTAAGTCTGTTCTGGTTAATTCATTGTCTGTATGCATATCTTTGCTGGATCCTAAGAGGTTTACATTGGGGACTTATCCTATATATGGTCGTCAACTTACCCATGGAAGCATCGTAACTAACCCCGAGACAGTGGACGGAATGCTTGGAAGCCTAGGTGAGGAATGCAGTATGGTTATTTAATTTTCAGATTTCTATGCACATTTGTTGCTTATGGAAATTGGTAGACCTGTATTTCTTTTCCTGATCTGTACAAACTTGGTTGACTATCATTATTGCCATTTTGCTTTCACGACGTCTTTATGTTTTTTTTTTCTGTTTATTGGTGGTCTGCAATGTTAATTACTCTATTGGCTGCTATGAACAGTTTAATGTGCGTCCACTGTGCAGGTGATTTACTCTTGCTTTTGAATGTATCATCTGCGGAGGCCGTTCTGTTAACAACGTATGGCAAGCTGCAACCACCTCTTGGAAAACACAGATTAAAGGTTGTTCACATTTGTATGATTTGGTTTTCCATATTTCACTGTTATGGGTTATAATTTCTATTTTTTGAACTACAAATGAAAACTTGACTTCGTTTCCTTTTCCTAGATTGTAGAATTTATTTCAGTCTTACTCACAGTCGCTAGTGAAGCAGCGGAGAAGGAAATAATTCGACTGGGAGTGGTGAAAAGAGTGTTGGACTTGTTCTTCGAGTAAGTGGGAGATTATATTTTCTCATTTGATGATAAACAGACTGCCCTGCTAAATTGTGGTGCAAGATTTTCTCAGGTATCCCTACAACAATTTTTTACATCACCATGTGGAGAATGTAATTCTCTCATGTTTGGAGAGCAAAAACTCTCAACTTCTCGACCATCTTCTGAATGAATGCAATCTTATCGGGAGTATACTGGAGGCTGAAAAAGACCCGATATTGACAGCTGCTGATTCTGATAAGGTGAAGAAGCATAATTGCTAATGTCTGGGTTTGGCATCATTATCAATTAACTTGGTTTACATGTGATGTCTCAGCTTCAACCGACAGTCCCTGCAGAGGGTAGAAAGCCACTCAAGATTGGAAGCATTGGTCACTTGACTCGTATCTCGAACAAACTTCTTCAACTAGCTAATAGTAATGTCGAGATTCAGTCACATTTGCAGGTATAACACAATTATGTCTAATTGACTTTATTAACTTAGTTAATTGCCACACATTCGTGTACATGCATATATGAAGCGCAAATGGTTAGGTTGTTGAACTTGAAAGTATTTAGTACAAGTACATATAGTTTTTTAGTTTTCTTTATGAGAGTATGGTATTTCTCTTGATTTTCTGTATATAATCCGATCGTCAAAAGCAATATGCTCAGTGCTCTACCCCATGTTTTGATGTCTCCCAAAGATATTTACTCGGTAGCGTGTTTGCATGTGAGATGTTGAGAAAGGTTCTAGCCTTGTAGGTTGCTCTGGTGTTTAGTATCAAACTTTTGACATCTTGTTCAAGATTCCTTTTGTACGTTTTTTTACCAGGAAAATAGCGAATGGGTGGATTGGCAGACAGATGTTCTGTCCAAGCGTAATACATTGGAAAATGTCTACTCTTGGGCTTGCGGGTATGTATCTTTTCTCTTCGTGGGAGTTTTACTAGAACCTTATGAAACAGGCTTCCGTTTTTAAATCTGACCAAAAGCAGAGGTTATACTTGGAAGAGTATTTTATTATAGAAGCTTGTCACATTTGTGTAATCTGCTTTAATGGCAGTCCCAGCAGATGGCAATAAGAGCTTGCTGTTGGGTAGTTCCTTAGGGCGTGACAAATGTTAGATGAGAGGCAGTAATGATGGTTGTCGTAGTATATTGATAATTCCTTTTACTGATATTCTTCCTAACAGGAGGCCAACTTCACTCCATGATCGTAATAGAGATAGCGATGATGATGATTACCACGATAGAGACTATGATGTGGCAGCTTTAGCAAACAACTTGAGCCAGGCCTTTAGATATGGCGTTTACAACAATGATGACATGGATGAGGTGATGTTCTAATGTTTCCTTTTCGTAGCTGCTACCTTATTATGGGAGATTTAAGCCCCATACTTCATTAATTCTTGGAAGCTCATGGGTCTCAATTTTTGAGACAGCGGTGGAAATTGATTCAGGAATTTTCTAGAAGATCGTTTTATTTTGTGTTGGTCTTTAATTCTGTTATAGTTTCTGAAATAGGATACATATTGAAATCTGTTGCAAGAGAGACTACATGCTATGAACATTTGATCTTTCGTTAACGTAATTTTCATTTATCCACTGCAGAACCAAGGCTCTATGGAACGCGGCGATGATGAGGTATTATTTTGGTCTTTTCCCTATCATATAAACCGAGAATATGTGGCTGTTCGTATAAGCAGTCAATATGAAGACAATAGTGATTATGGTAGACATGAAAGCCTCTTATGAACTCGATGTTTCAGGATGTCTACTTTGATGACGAATCTGCAGAAGTCGTCATATCTTCTTTGCGCCTTGGAGATGATCAGGAGAGGTAATGTGTTCGACTAATCTCCTGTGGTAGAAATCAATCTGTTTCTGTCTTTGTTGATTATGCGGCGCCTGGACTAACAAAAATGTAACATGGTGTCTTTCTAGCAGTTCTCTCTTCACAAATTCAAACTGGTTTGCTTTCGATGATGAAAAAGTTGCGAATGAGCACTCAATGGCTTCCCCTTCACCCAATGCTGATGAGGATGGTGAGGATGATGATGTCGTCTTAGGTGAATCGGCCGACGACTTCAAGGACAGTGTAGCCTCTTCCTCGCCTGTTGATATGGAAACAGAGGATTCTACATCAAAGAATCCTTCTGAAAACCCGAGTGAACCAGAAGCCGAAAAATCACCAGCTTGGGTCGAATGGAGAGAGACCTCCGAGTCCACTGCGCCTTCTTCAAACCCAGATGAAGCTAGCATGTTACCCAATGGTGAGGTTCAAAACGAGAAAGAAGATAATGTTGACGATACCGATAAAGAAGGTGCAAAGGATTCATCACCAGGTGGCGGTGAAATCATAGAGTCATCAGATGCAAGTGGCGTTGCAACCACTGAGAGCTCACCAGATGCGAGTGAGGCTGAAATAACCGAGAAGTTGAAAGATTCGAGTGCTGCTGAACCGGATGATGAGAGTGCTCAAAGCTCAGAACCTGCAATATCGCAGGAGACGGACAAGAACCAGGAAGCAGGTGATGTTGCAGCAAAGGCAAATGACATAGAAAGCGAAGAAGCTGGCAAGGAACCAGAGAAGGTAGTTTAAGCTTTACTCAACGTAACTAGTAATACAAATTCATACTGATATGCTTTCTTTGGTTTATATTAGTTTGCTACGATTTTATTATTCTTTCTTTTTCCTTTCGGACATATTGTCGACCAAAATATATTACTAGCTTATCATTTTTTTTTAGTTTGAAGTTTGTTTACCTCATCTACACTCATCAAGTTGATATGTTGTAAAGCTGTTGCTCTTGAACCCTGCACAAACAGTGACTCATGTTGTTCCTCCAAACAGTGACTTATAAATCACTCCAACTTATATAATACATATATTCAAGTAATTCTTTCATGTGCGAATCTTTGCATTTCACAACCTGGTTCCAAAGATTGAACATTTGGTATGATAAGAAAACAAGATTATATCTGTTTCATAACAATACTGATGAAAGATAACAGATGTGCATATTGCTAGCAGCACTAAATTATATCTGCTTGTTATATTTCTCTCACTTCGTCTTGAGATTTGTCTTGTCGTGCGTCATGTTTAATCCCCTCTCTCTTTAGTAACTGTTGTCATGTTTCGCTCTCCAAATCTTTCAAGTACGCCATGAACATAAGAAGCCCGAAAAGGAAGAATCCACCAGAGAAGCTCTCTCCACCTCCTCCTCCGCCACCACCACCACCACCACCATAACGAGGTGGGAACCCGTTTCCACCGTCATCAAGCTTTGGGGATTTCGCTGTTCCTGATGTTCAAGCAAAAAAAAAAAGCTTTATTAGACTCTAAATAACTGTTTGATTCTTAGCTAGATTCATAAAACCTATCATGTTTACGTAAAACTTTCTTGTTTGTTAGAAACATAAAACAAGGTTTCTCCACACTGAAGCAAGCATCGATGGAGTCAGAAAAAAAGAGAGGGATGCAAGAAAGTACCATGTGTGGGAGCTTTTGTGATTGTTCGTGATTTTCGCGTAACAGTCTGTGTCTGCCCTTGACTGCATTTTGCATCCTGCCGAAGAAGAAAAATCAAACCAGCAGAAGTAAATCAAATAGCGACACAAAATCTTCACGAATTTAGAAAACCTACCAGTACAGCAGCGTTACAAACAAAGAGAGATCTTTTGCTCTTAGAGCTGAAACCAAATCCTTTCCTAATAGAGGCTCCTGTTCCAACTGCCTTGAGAGAAGGATATGTTCTCGGGTTCTGGAGTTGCATAGAAACTCTTGTAGGGTAGTAACGCCCACGAAAGTTTCCTACCACAGAAGAAGAGCTTTTAACACTTGACCATTTCAACAGATTAAGAAAATCAAAAGCTTGACAAAATTTGATTAAGCAAGGATCTAATCCTACAAGACAAGTTGATAAAATAAATTTAAAATAATCTCAGACATCAATAACAAGAAAACTTGAGTTTTTTTCATAAAAACAAAGCTGTAATCAAGAAGTGTATAAATATTTACTCTCTCCGTTTCATTTTAATTGTCATTCTACCTTTTTCCACAAAGATTAAGGAAACATTTAATTTTATATATTTTCAAAAAAAAAAATATAATTACCTATACACCTAACCACTTTTAAACCAATAGAAAAATAAAATATCATATAAAACTAATAAATTTTATCTCGAAACTCTAAACATACTTATTTTAAAACGAGCTTTTTCTCTCAGAATGACAACTAATTCGAAACGGAGGGAGTATATACCAAAGTAGAGAAGATACCATTAGTGAGCAAAGGAGAAGAGCGAGGAGAAGGGAGGAACACCAATGGTTGTGCCCCAATACACAAAGATGGACTCATCACCGGCATATCTGCTGTTAAAAACAATCAAACCCCCCAAAAAAAACATTAAACCTTATTTCAACTCACCAGTTTGATACAATAGGATTCATCACTTTTTGAAAATCAATTAATATAAAAAGTGCATCAAATTTGGTAAGTGTTTGTGCAGACGAATCAGGGGAAAACTATAGGGAAGGGTCCTCGAAGTTTCTCGATCATATAGACAAAGAAAAGCAGAAACCTTTGAAACGAAAGAGAGAGAGAGGATCGCAGAACGTACCTGAAGAATTAAACACGAACAAGAAGAAAAAGACTTTTCTAGGGTTTATGTAAAAATGTTTCTCGCACAAATCAATTAAAGCGTTACGTACTTACGTCTAACGCAAGATTTATAAAATAAGTCTTGAAGGAAAAAGGAAACACAGATGAGACGGCAACATACAAGTCTCCTTGTTTTTTATTTTTACTAGGGATCATACCCCCGCGCAAGCGCGGGGTTCGTTTGCCTTGTATTTCTCTTGTAGATATTAACTTCTATATCCTAAGTTTGTGTTATGTTATTGTTACACTACCATGGAAGCTGTCTCCTAAGCTTCACATGTCAGATGTCACTCTCAAGAGTTTCTTATGATGATTATTCTCTCGTGTGGGATCTATATGACTATATCATAGGAACACAGTCATCATAATCACTCTAGTTACAGTAATAGTATTCATCAGAAGTTGTTGACTATGGTCTTCTCAGGGACATTCTTCCTTCAATATTCTTGAAGAACGAATCTTGAAAAACGGAAAGAGTAATATAGTTTTGAATTAGATACATTTACTATACATGTATGTGTATATATGTTACGGATAACCTTTTGATTTGGAAATTTTAATATTAAAGTTACGTTTTGTGAAGGTGTGTGGGTTTTAAAATAGTTTACTTTTGGTCTTGATTAATTTGTCTATAGATTATAAGTATAGTGACTTGTGATTTAAGGAAAACGTTCACATGTTTTTTCCTGCTTTGCTAAAACGTACAAACAACATATGATTCAGTCAAATCTTACAACATTGTCCATTTCCTGACGGAGTGAAAACCGGTTGGTGCCTTATCTTTTTCTCCTTTGAGATTGACACCATGAAATTCTTGATGCTCTCTTTTTTTTTTGCCAATGGTACACACTAATTCGACTTCCTCATAGGATTCCAAGGTTGCTTTCATCTCCACAGCTTCTTGCTCGTTCATGGCCTGACACTGAAAATTTGTTTTAAATTAACCACTATGACAGAAAAATCTTTTGATTTCATTTGAACGCAAAGCTCAATTATTCTTCATAAAAATTTAATCACAAGTTTCTGATAGAAAGAGAAAACATATTAACAACGAAGTTATCAAACAGAGACGAAAATACAATCGGCACAAATAAATAAATACGTCTTTTTTAGGTTCTGCATATTTCTATTCAGCCACAAGAACAGTGCTGCTATTTCTGGCCACCCAACACACAATCTACTCTAGTATATTTAACTATGGGTTTCAAGCACCAAAAGGGGAAATTATAAAAAGAGGGATATGTGAGAGTACATAGTAGGATTAGAAATTAGATTGGCCAGACGTTCATTTTCTCTTGGAAACATGAAAATTAAAAATTTGATACATCAGAAATATTTGAAACAACACAAGAGTACTAACTATGTTTAAAGACTGAGTGTTACATGCTTATTGGAGTTGGAGATGAACGTGTGAAGGTCTCCACACAAGCTCCTTCTTTTAATCCCTTCCATGGTATCAACTCGTGGGTAAAGTTCTGCTGCTCAACCTCCAAAGCTGCATGGAGTTAGTATGTGCTACACATAAAATAGCTGGTAAGATTGTTTATGTAAGTGGTGACTTACCTGTTTATGTAATCTTTGATGGTAGGGATGGTGTTGTCAAAGTAGAAATGGGTAGTTGGGGTTGAGTTCAGATAGAGATTTCCTACATAAAACCCAAATGTTTCTTAGATTATGTTAGAAAGCAGAATCATATATACAATGGACCATAAACATGTTTATTTCTTAAAGATTGAGAACCATACCTCCAAATATTTTTGGATTAACCGTACTGACCACCATTACAGACTGAGATTGATCACCTGAGTCAAGAAGCCCCCAAAACTTTGCAGCAGCGTAGTAGTCCTACTGAGGAAAGTACACAACAATGGAAATGTCATGGGAGATTAAATTAGTTTTCTTATAGAAAACCGTAAGGATTTTAAAATATGAGTACAAAAAGGTATGACTTACGGGTCAATGAGTAGACGGACCACAACCCGTGTGGTTTCTTCAGAGTTGTTCAGGCCAGAGCCTTGAACATAACGGATTTCCCCAACCACCTGAAATGAAGCATTTAGAAATAATGAAAAAATAGTATATGTAGATTGGCTGAAATTTAGTTTGGAAAACTAACTCTATTGAAAATTTCAGATAGGGATTTCCGACATATCTTCTGAGAAATCAGATTGGCCAGACGTTTGTATTTCTCTTAGTAACATGACAAATTCAAAATTTGATAGAGAATTTGGGATGGAACTTATTCTCAGTATAAATAAAGTGCCCAGTTTCAGCAAAAGTTAATTCACTACCTTCACGAAGATATATGTGCAAGTACTACATGCTATGTTTGAAATCCATTCACAATCGAATAGGTGCCTGTTACTTGATGAAATTCCCGTCCGGGATTGTTCTATTCAAAGTGGCTTTATAAATAGCCATTGTTGTTACACAAAATCTGGGACCACTCACAACTATCCGATATCTTTGGAATCTACTAACAAACGTGTAACAGAATATCCTAATATTCTATCAGCCCCCCTCAGTTGAAGCGTCAGCAGGGAAGACGGTTAAACTGGAACGAAAGTCGGTGAACAGAGATGTCGGGAGACCTTTGGTAAATATATCTGCATATTGGAAAGAAGAGGGTACGTGTAGTACTTTGACTTCTCCTATAGCGACCTTTTCTCTTACAAAATGTATGTCCAGCTCTATATGTTTAGTTCTTTGATGCTTGACCGGATTTGTTGCTAGGTAAACTGAGCTTATGTTGTCGCAGTACACAAGAGAAGCTTTGTTAATGCGCCAATGTAATTCCACCATCAAGTTACGTATCCAACTCAACTCTGCAACAGCATTTGCGACTCCTTTATATTCAGCTTCTGAGCTCGAGCGTGAAACTGTCTGTTGTCTTTTAGCAGACCATGAGACAAGGTTTGGGCCGAGAAAAACACAATATCCTGAAGTGGATCTTCTTGTGTCTGGGCATCCTCCCCAGTCAGCGTCGGAGTAAGCGGTGAGACAATCTATTTGGCCCTTGACCAGTTGAATCCCATATGAGAGAGTGCCTTTGAGGTATCTGATTATGCGTCTGAGGGCTTGGAAGTGAGGTTGTCGCGGGCTGTGCATATATAAACAAATCTGATGAACAGCATATGATATGTCAGGCCTGGTGAATGTTAAGTATTGCAAGGCACCCGCTAGGCTTCTGTATGAGGTAGGGTCTGTAACTAAGTCACCCTCATCTGCTGACAATTTAGATTTTAAATCAACCGGAGTCGCTACTTGTTTGCAATCGGTCATTCCTGCGCGTTGGAGGATCTCTTTGGCGTATTGAGTTTGACTGAGAAACAGACCCTTGGAGTTGTAATCAGCTTTGATTCCAAGAAAGTGTCGAATTTTACCCAAGTCAGTCATTGGGAACTCTGTTTTAAGAGATGTTATAATACGCTGCAGGAGGGAAGGTGATGATGCTGTGAGGAGGATATCGTCGACATACAGCAGGATGTAAGCAAGCTCATGACCTTTTTTGTAAACAAATAGTGATGTGTCTGCTTTGCTTGTTAGAAACCCAATACGATTGATAAAATTGGCAAATCTGGAGTTCCAAGCCCGTGGGGCCTGTTTAAGCCCATAGACAGCTTTGTGAAGTTTACAAACGTGATTTGGGAATTGTTTGCTGACGAAGCCTGGTGGCTGCTGCATATACACCGTCTCTGCTAGGTCACCTTGAAGGAATGCGTTCTTTACGTCTAATTGATGGATTTTCCAATCAAGTGCAACAGCAATGGTCAAGACCAATCGTATAGTTGCAGGTTTAACAACCGGGCTGAAAGTTTCGGTGAAGTCAACTCCAGACTCTTGAGATTTTCCATTAGCCACAAGCCTGCTTTTGTTGCGAGTAAGATTCCCATCTGCATCAAATTTGTGTTTGTACAACCACATGGATTTGATAATATTAACATTAGGGGGACGAGGTACCAAGCTCCATGACCTAGTCTTAATCATAGCATCATATTCGTCAGTCATTGAAGGTGTCCAGTTTGGATCAGAAAGCGCCTGAAGATAGCTTTTTGGAAGAGGAGGTGTGGTGGTGGTGAGTAAAGAAAGGATTTGTTTTGGTTTTCGGACTCCTGCCTTAGCCCTAGTAGTCATTGAATGAGTAGATTGAGCAGGAAGAGGTTGAGCTATGGTAGCAGGTGGAGTATGATTTTGAGGTATCTGAATAGGGGACTCTAGAATAGAGCGCATGGCAGGAGAGGGGTCATCGGAAGTGTCTAGGAATTGATACTGAACTTTAGGTTTGAAGGCTTTTTCTGCAGCTGGAAACTTATCTTCATCGAAATAAACATGGCGCGAGATAATTATTTTGTTTGTTCTGAGATCAAGACAACGGTATCCACGATGTTGAGTGGGATATCCGAGAAACAAACAAGGAGTTGAGCGAGGCGCCAGTTTGTGAAGATTAGCATGATTCAGATTGGGGAAGCATAAGCATCCGAAAACGCGGAGGTGATTGTATGTGGGTTGTTTGCCGAACAGAACAGTGTGAGGAATTTGGTTCTTAATGGCAGAAGAGGGTAAGATGTTTAGGAGATGGACAGCAACATTAGCAGCTTCAGCCCAATAAGATGGAGCGAGCTGAGCCTGGAAAAGAAGAGCGCGAATAGAGTTGTTAATGGTTCTTATCATCCGTTCAGATTTCCCGTTTTGTTGGGATGTGTGGGGACAAGAGAAACGAACGGAGATTCCATTGGCATCAAAGCATTTTAAGAAATCAGTGTTTTGATATTCACCACCATTATCGCATTGAAAAGATTTGATGTTGGCTTTGAACTGTGTTTTAATATACGAGTGGAAGTGAAGAAATTTGGAGAAGACGTCACACTTACGACGGATGGGATAGATCCAAACGTATTGCGTGTAGTGGTCCAGAAAGAGGACATAATACTTTAGACCACTCATGCTTGGGACTGGTGAGGTCCAGACGTCAGAATGAACGATGTCAAAGGGTTCAGAGACCGTTGTTTGAGAGGTAATAAATGGAAGTTTGGTATGTTTAGCGAGAACACAAGATTGACAAGTCGTAGGAAATTTCATTTTATTTGAAAGCTCAGAGTTTGCAGAAAATATAGATTTCAGAACAACATTATTAGCGTGCCCAAGCCGCTTGTGCCAAAGAGAAGGAGATGAAGCCAAAAGAGCAGTAGAAGTAGTAGATTTATTGAGCGATGCTGGAAGAGGATAAAGATCTCCAGAGCTTTCACAACGGAGTAGAGTCTTTTTGGTTGGAATGTCCTTCACAGAAAAACCAAAAGGGTCAAATTCAACAGTACACCAGTTTTCTGTCGTAAATTTACGAACGGAGATTAAATTTTTGACTATCTGAGGTGTAACAAGAACATTATTTAAAGTGAGAGGACGAGTGTTTGTATGAAAGGAAGTGGATCCAGATGAGAAAACAGGAAGTTTCATACCGTTGCCAACAATGACTGAATGACTGATATTATGATTAAGAGAAGGTTGGAGGGTACCTGGGTCGGCGGAGAGGTGTGCTGTAGCACCGGAATCCATGAACCAGTCGCTTGCAGTTGGATCCGTGAGAGTTTCAGTAGAGTAAGCTTGAGGAAACTGCGTTGGCTGGATATGCATCAAGTTTGCTTGATGATGTTGTTGTGGCATCTGAGGAGCTGGAGAATGTCCACGAAAGTTGGCTCCTTGCATGAATGGAGTCCAGTTTGAGAACTGTTGCTGCCACTGAGGGTATGTGCTGTTCCAGTAATTGTTTTGAGGCCAGTTGTTGTAGTTTGGACGGCTGTTGTAGTTGCCTCTGTTTCCTCTGAAACGGTTGTTGTTCCTGCGATTTCCTCTGTAAAAATTGCTTGATCTGTGAGACTGAGGGCGTTGAGTAGGAGGTTGGTTTGCGGAGACGGTGAGAGCAGTGGAGGAAGAAGCATGATCATTGTGAGTCGCAGAGACTTTCTTTGTCTTCTTGAGACGTGTTTCCTCCAGTTCCAGCATGGATTTTGCATTGTCAAAGGAGGGAAGAGGGTCTTTATGCTTGATAACGTTTATGATGTTATCGTATTTTTCGTTAAGACCGTTGAGAAGGTACATAACTAGCGTCCGTTCATTGACTGGAGCGTCTACATTGGAAAGAAGGTCAGAGAGGGATTTGATCTTCTGACAATATTCGTGGACTGATTGATCACCAATTTCAGTGGTCCTGAGTTCATTGTCGAGTTGTATTGCTCTCGCCTCCTTGTTGTTTCGAAATTGGTTTTCGATGCGAATCCATACATCACGAGCAGTACCGCCGGTCTTGAATGATGATCGGAACAAGGGTTCGGCAAGGGTCCCGTAGATCCACAGCTTGACAAGACCATCACGTTTTAACCATGTGCCGTCGTCACCATTTGGGGCAAGAGTGCCGTCAATATGACCGAGTACATCGTAAGCAAGACAGTGGGTAGTAAAGAGGTCTCTCCACACATCATAGTTATGATCATTGAGATCAAGGATGATTGGTATGTGCGTTTTGATGTTGTTAATACCAAATGCACGTTCGGGAGGAGCAGCTGGATTAGCCATTGTTAGAGAAGAAGAATGAAGAAGAAGAAAAGAAAAAAAAGAAGAAGTGTAAGAGTGAGATTATAACGAGAAGAAGAGGAGAGAATCGGTTCAGGAGCGTATGTGCTCTGATACCATGTTACTTGATGAAATTCCCGTCCGGGATTGTTCTATTCAAAGTGGCTTTATAAATAGCCATTGTTGTTACACAAAATCTGGGACCACTCACAACTATCCGATATCTTTGGAATCTACTAACAAACGTGTAACAGAATATCCTAATATTCTATCAGTGCCCTATTAAAAAACTTGAGATAAAGACACACCAAGCAAAACTAAGCACAGGGATAACCACCTCATCTCTAAACGCTTGACCAATGTGAACTGCAGTAAGTCTAAGAAGACCAGTTCTTAACATTCACATATATATATATATATATATATATATATCTTGTGCAGTTTTCCGAACTCATGTAACTCGTACACAAACATAAACTAATAAGGATCATAAAACTTAGGAACAAAAGAAGTTCAGAGAGACAATCATAAATTAAGAAATACCCACCCATAAATTAACCAAATGGTCCAATGGATGTTTGAGACATCATTTTAAACGGATAAGGGTCAACAAAATGGCTTTTTGGTTTTGAAGCGTTGACGCACGAAAGACAACAGTGCAGCCCTGACATCAGTGCGGTGTTAGCGACTCGAGCACCTGAGAAAATCATTTTCGTAACGGCGGTTGCAGAGGTAAACAAAGGAAAAGGTACAGGAGAAAAATGAGGAGGCAAATGAGAACTCACCATAGACGATCTCTGTATATAGAAGGATGGAGAAGGCATGACGGGAAGATGAGTCCTCTCGTCGGTAGAGTCGGAGAGACTGAGTAACCAAAACGATCCGCCGGAATAGGAAGCCATCTGACGACAACTCTCTCGAAGGGAGAAGGTAACTCTAGCGGTTTGCGGGCCAAAATTTCTTAAGCCCACGAAAAATAAAACATAGATCCAATAGATGATTTAAGCCTATGCGAGAGATTTTTTTTTTTAAATGGGTCCCACAATGTACACGTGGACACCCTTAGGAATCTTGAAACTGTGGCATTATAATATAGATTCTGTTATTTCTTTTTTTAATTCTTTTTTTTTTAAATAACAGAAGATCGGAAAATTAAACTAAAACCCTAATTTCATCAGCAGATCCTCTTTTCAATTGAAAGCAACTGTGACATCAAGGGAAGACGGCGAGCATGCTAGGTGGATTGTACGGAGATCTCCCTCCGCCGTCAGACGATGACAAACCTACCGGAAAATCCTCCTCCTCCGTCTGGTCAAGCAGTACCAAAATGGCTCCACCTACGCTACGCAAACCACCCGCTTTTGCTCCCACGCAAACCATCATCAGACCTCAAATCAAGCCCAAGCCTCTCCCCTCGCAACACAAACCTCCTCCGATTCTCCCTCCGGTTAACGACGCGGCACAATCGCAACCGGCGTTAGTTTCCGTGACTTCATCGGTGATCGAAGAGTACGATCCAGCTAGACCGAACGACTACGAAGACTACAAGCGCGAGAAGAAGAAGAAAGCCACGGAAGCTGAGATGAAACGAGAGCTCGACAAGAGACGTCACGAGGAAGAAGCCAAGAGAGAAAGAGAAGAGAGAGAGCGTGATCACACCGATCTCAATATCTCCGGCGAGGAAGCGTGGAAGAGACGCGCCGCCATGACCGGTGGGAGATCTTCCTCTCCTCCGCCGGTTGACGGCGGTGGTTTTAGCGTGGGGAAGTCGGAGACGGGCGGGTTGGGAGTAGGGGCGGGTGGGCAGATGATGACGGCGGCGGAGAGGATGATGGCGAAGATGGGGTGGAAACAAGGACAAGGGCTTGGGAAATCTGAGCAAGGGATCACTACGCCGTTGATGGCAAAGAAGACTGATCGTAGAGCTGGTGTTATTGTTAATGCTTGTGAGAAGAAGGTTGTTGTTGTCAAGGGTGTGTGTATTAGTGGTGAACCAACAAGAGTCTTGCTTCTTAGAAACATGGTATGTGCTTTCTTGATTCTGGGAGCTTGTTATTGTGTTTTAGGAGACACACTTTTGCTGCAATTGATTTAGAATGGTCTTACTTAGAAACATGGTATGCGTTTAGAGACACACACATAAGGTTGATACTGATTGTGTCTGCCATGTCCGACACACTTTGCTAAACTTTGGGTGAGAATGATACGCTTATTTGTTGTGGTCTTAAGTTAAACATAGTGACTTCAAACTGTTGGCAATCAATATTGCATTTCAACAAGATGAAGATTCTTTGCTGTAGCTCATAGTTTTCTTATGTTAATGTTGGCCTAGTGAACTGCTGGATTGGTTGTAGAATTAAGATTTGTCTCTTCTTTTGAAAGAACGTTTCATATGCACAAGTTACAGTATCCTCCCCTTGAATAGTCAACTAGGCATTTGTGACCATACTTTGGTTCTAGCTTAAGATTTGATCCTCCAAGCTTGATTTGCCAGATACTTTGGTATGTGTTTGAAGGCAACTTTATTGGATTTAGGATATTGTAAATATTTGTCACACAAGTTTTTTGGTATTTGACGTTTCTTGTGTTTAATTTGGTATGTGTTTGAAGGCAACTTTATTGGTTTTAGGATATTGTAAATATTTGTCACACAAGTTTTTTGGTATTTGACGTTTCTTGTGTTTAATTCGGTATGTGAATGCATCGATTGTATTGGAACTCTTGTGATTCTGATTGTTTGTTCACCATATACACAAGTACTTGTTGTTGCTGAGAGATTCAGATTTCATTTTTTTTTCTATTTATTTGCGCTCGATTGACACATCACCTATATTGAAGGTTGGACCAGGAGAAGTAGATGATGAGCTAGAAGAGGAGGTGGGATCGGAGTGTGGCAAATACGGAACAGTGACACGTGTACTTATCTTCGAGATCACTGAACCAAATTTTCCTACACACGAAGCAGTGAGAATCTTTGTTCAGTTTTCGAGACCTGAGGAAACAACTAAAGCACTTGTGGACCTCGACGGCCGATTCTTTGGAGGAAGGACGGTACGTGCAACATTCTACGATGAATTGAAGTTTAGTAAGAACGAGTTGGCTCCAGTACCAGGTGAAATCCCTGGCTATTAAAGTAGAAGAAACTGTCTTGTCTAAATGAGGTTTAATAATTAATTTATTAAGTACTTGGAAGCTCTTGGGATCTACCTGATTATTGTTTAGCTCAATGTAGCCTACCTCTGAGCACATAAAGTCAATTCGGTTTATCATTGTTAGTAGCCTACCAACGCACTTTCAATCAGACAAAACTGGCCGACCCAACCCGATTAGAACTAGTAGAAATTAGGCTATGATGTAATCTCAAGCTCGATCCATAAAAGCTGATACTCTTTCTTTCTGTTTCAAATGGTAAGTTTTTTTTTTTTTTTTGTTGTTAAAAAACACTATTATTAAACAAGTGGTTACTTGTTAAAAAGTATTATTTAATACAGTATACTAGGTGTTTTGCCCGCACTTGCGGGCATAATTCTCTGATAAATATTTATTAGTTGATGTTTTATTAATTTAAAAACCAGCATAATAAGTTATTATTAATGTTTTCAAAAAGTACAAATCAAACATCAAATAATTATTAATGACAAAACTCAAACATCAGAAATATTTAAAAGAATATATTTTTATAATTATTTTGCTTGATTTATATTTAATTATAAGATCTATACAATTTTTTTACTTAATTTATATTTAATTGTAATTTTTATATCTTAATTTTAAATTTTATAATAGAAAAACATATTTTCAAGATAACAATATAATTCATAAACTATTTATTTCTAAAAATATAATATGATAATTTTTTTAATTATATAAGATTATAAAAATGATGACATATAATTAAAATTACCTAAAATCATGGAGAACTTAATGAATCAGCAAATTCACTTCTTAAATAATTTTTACTAGGTGTTTCGCCCGCGCATGCGGGCATAATTTTCGTACAATTTATTATTAGTTTGTATTTTATTAATTCAAACTAATATAATAAGTTATGATATATGTTTTAAAATTAATTATAAATGACAACACTCACATAACAAAATATTGTTAAAAATATATTTTTACAAATGTGTTGCTTTAATTTATTTTAATTATAATTTTTTATTTCTATAAAAAAATAAATATATTTTTAAGATAACAATATAATACGTAAGTAGTATCTTATTTTCTCAAAATATAATTTTTAATAGAAATTGTTTTTATTTCATAATAAATTTTATATGAAATTATTAAAATATGACAAATAATCAAAATTATCTAAATCATGGAGAAATTAAAAATCATATAAAATTCACTTAAATTTTCTAATAGAAAATATATGTTCAAGATAACATTCTAATACATAAGAATTATCTTATTTTTTTAAAAATCTAGTATTATTAGTATACATTCGTTTTAATATTTAATAAATTATATGGAAAATTATTAAAATATGATAAATAAGCAAAATATAAAATCTTGGAGAAGTTGATAAATCAGCATTGTTTTCTTTATATTTAACTATTAATATTTTAATTTAATTTTTAATTTCTATGATATAAAATATATTTTAAAGATAACAATATAATACATAAGAATTATCTTATTTTCTAAAAGTATAATATTATTAATAGAAATTCGTTTTATTATATGATAAATTATACATCTATACTATTATTTGCGAAGTGATTTTTCGCAACGGAGCTATCACGTTAAAAGTAATAGCGGTTAATATCTATTTTACCCTTAATGAAAATTTAATATATAACTAATTTTATAATTAAAAACGAAATTTAAAAAATAAAATTAGATAAGTACAGTATGTTATTATCTTAGATAATAAAGAATAATTAATATTATAAGTTTATAAGAAAACAAAAACAAGATAATTCTTATATATGTTATTATTATACGAATTTAATATTGTAACAACATGATAATGCTTATAGATCTTAATTTTATATAAAATTGATTTTGGCTTTTAAAAATAATATCATTATATTATAAATTTTAAAAATTAAAGTATAAAATTGATTTTAATTAAATATTAATCAAACAACATTTGTATAAAGATACTTTTAATTATATAATTAAATGTTCAAGTTAATGATACCTTTAATGAAATTTATATATTTATATATAAATTAGTTAAAACCAAATTTTATGTTGGTGATATAAATTTATATGTTATTATATTAGTTAATTTGATATAAATTAATAGGATAATTATCCACATTCATGCATATTTAAAACATAAGATATCTTATAGAATATTATACAATTATCTGAATATAATCTTTTTTATTGTGAAAAATAAAAATGTAAGTTATAAAACAATTGAAAATTAAATATTAAGAAAAAATATAAATATATTTTCAAAAATATTTTATTATGTGGATGTGTTTCAACACTATAATAAGCATATAGATTTTGATGAAAAATCGTATCAAAATATTTTAATGTTTGATTTAGGTTTTTTAAAACTATAGAAAATAAATTATAATATTATTTTATAATTAATAAAACAAAAAGTAACAAATATTCGTAAGAAAATTATGTAGTTAATTTATTATAAATTAATAGGATAATTATCCACATTCATGCATATTTAAAACATAAGATATCTTATAGAATATTATACAATTATCTGAATATAATTTTTTTTACTGTGAAAAATAAAAATGTAAGTTATAAAACAATTGAAAATTAAATATTAAGAAAAAATATAAATATATTTTCAAAAGTATTTTATTATGTGGATGTTTTTCAACACTATAATAAGCATATAGATTTTGAGGAAAAATCGTATCAAAATATTTTAATGTTTGATTTAGGTTTTTTTAAACTATAGAAAATAAATTATAATATTATTTTAGAATTAATAAAACAAAAAATAATAAATATTTGTAAGAAATTATGTAGTTAATTTATTATAAATTAATAGGATAATTATCCACATTCATGCATATTTAAAACATAAGATATCTTATAGAATATTGTACAATTATCTGAAAATAATCTTTTTTAGTGTGAAAAATAAAAATGTAAGTTATAAACAATTGAAAATTAAATATTAAGAAAAAATGTAAATATATTTTCAAAAAGTATTTTATTATGTGGATGTTTTTCAACACTATAATAAGCATATAGATTTTGATGAAAAATCGTATCAAAATATTTTAATGTTTGATTTAGGTATTTAAAACTATAGAAAATAAATTATAATATTATTTTAGAATGAATAAAACAAAAAATAATAAATATTGGTAAGAAAATTATGCCCGAATATGCGGGCACAACACCTAGTAAAATTATTAAAAATATAACAAATAAACAAAATTACAAAAATCATGAAGTAGTTACAAATCAATGAGTAAATTAACTTAAATTTTATAATAGAAAAATATATTTTTAAGATAACAATTTAATACAAAATAATTATAGTATTTTCTAAAATATAATATTATTAATATAAATTCGTTTTTATTAAGTAATAAATTGTATATGAAATTATTTAAATAAGATAACTCTATATAATATTATTAATATAAATTTATTTTTATTAAATAATAAATTGTATATGAAACTATTTAAATAAGGTAAATAAACAAATTTACCTAAAATCAATGAGAAGTTGACAACTAAGCAAATTTACTTCTTAAATAATAGTATAGATTGAGTGATGATTTATATTTAATTAAAAATCGATAATTTTTCTATTTTACTTTTAAATTATATTATATAAAAATATATTTTCAAGATAACAACATAATAAATAAGAATTACCTTATTTTCTAAAAGTATAATATTATTAGTGTAAATTTATTTCAATTATAGAATAACTATAACTTTTTATATCTTAATTTTAAATTTGTAATACAAAAACATATTTTCAAGACGAGAACTTAATACATAAGAAATATCTTATTTTCTAAGAATCTAATATTATTAATATAAATTTTTTTAAATATATAATAAATTATATATAAAATTAGAGAAATTATGATAAATTATCAAAATTATTTAAAAGCATGAAAAATGTGACAAATCAGCAAACATCAAATTCACTTCTTAAATCATAGTATAGATTTTTTATATGTTATTTTAAATTTTATAATAGAAAATATATTTTCAAGATAACAACATAATACATAAGAATTAACTTATTTTCTAAAACATAAATTTAATTATTAATAATATAATTTTTATGTTTTAATTTTAAGTTTTATTATACGAAAATATATTTTCAACATAATTCATAATACATAAGAATTATTTTTTTAAGTTTTATATATAAAAATATATTTCTAGATAGTAAGATAATTCAGTTTCAAAAAAAAAAAAAGATAGTAAGATAATTCTTAAAGTATATTTCTAGATAACAGCATAATTCACAAGAGTTATCTAATTCTTTAAAATATGATATATACATATAAATTCGTTTTATTTATAAATAAATTATATATAATATTATAAATATGATAAATAAATAATATTTCCTAAATTTATGGAGAACATGGCAACTAAGCAAATTTACTTCTTAAATAATAATATAGATAACTTCAATCAATTATAAAAGGGTAAACCTATATAACTTAGTTTGTCACACAATATTCAATAAACATTTGTAATGTTAAAACTACTTATATTGTGAAGCGATTTTGTGTTTGCTAAAACTACTTATAACATATAAAACAGAGTGAATATTTTTTTAAAAATAAAGTTTGTTAGGAAACCCGTCTTTTAAGCTCGTTAGTTTGGTGGTTACGATCCATATATCCCAAAAACCCTAGCTAGAAGACCCTATATTACCACCAAATTATATCTGATCTCGTGTCTTTTATATAACAAAGCAAGTTGAGAAATCTAGCAGCGCATCATCAGTCATGAAACGTAAGAAGATAGATCACAATATCCCTCTTGATCTAGTTGTGGAGATTCTCATCAGATTACCAACTAAGTCTGTTATCAAGTTCAAAAGCGTTTCCAAGATATGGTTGTCCATAATCGTGAGCCGTGTATTCATCGAATCCTTCGCATCCATCTCCTCGACACGACCGCGTTTTCTAGTCACTTTCACCAACGGTATCTACGGCAAGCGTGAGGAGAAACGTTTGTTCTTCTTCTCCTCTTCACAGGAGGAGGGACCTGAATCTGCTATTCACTACATGACACTCCCTAACCCCGGCGTTTCTACTAACAATGGGTCTTGTGCTTCCGTACATGGCTTTATGGGTTGTCAAATTTCACCTGGGTTCATCATCTGTAACCCTAGCACCAGACAAGTCATCCTCTTACCCATCTTACCCATCTCACACTGTGTCAGACCCTATATTAGAAGCACATGCTTGTGTTATGATCCTGTCTCTGATCAATTCAAAGCTTTCTCCCTCTTTTCTCCTCTCCAACGTGAGCATGAGTCCCATGTGCAGCACCTTGTGTTAACTCTAAAAGGTGATAAAAGAAACTATTCATGGAGGCTGATCCAAGGTAACTTCAGCATACCACCTTATTACCCTGTAACTACCAAAATATGCATCAGAGGGAAAGTGTATTATGGTGCTTGGACCCCTAAGTTTGGTATGGAACCAGTGATTGTTTGTTTTGATGTTGGATCTGAGAAGCTAACTTTTATCAAAGCACATAGGGATTTCCTTTGCTGGCAGTATGAACCCATTTTATTGGAATACAAAGGGAAACTAGCCTCCATTATTAAAAATAGATGGCCTTTTGAAGTTTTCGATAGTTTTGATTTTTGGGTACTAGAGGACGTTGAAAAACATGAATGGTCAAAGCATATATGTGCGTTTCCGCTCTCGTGTTGGGATAATGTTTGGGAAGGGGCTTTAAAAATGTCCTTTCCTGGGACCAACAAGGCTGGTGAGCTCATTATAGCACCAAGATACTTGCAGCGCCAACTTGGGCCCTTCTACATCTTCTATTGCAATGTAGAAACAAACAACATCAGAAGAGTTAGGCTCCACGGAATTGCTGATGATGAAGAGTTTAGACACTCTTATGGCTTTGGAAAGACTATTCCTGGATTTGATGATGTCTATATTACACCCGAACATGTCGAAAATCTAAGAGTTTTGTAATGTTTTTTTTTCTTTTTCTTTTTAGTATTCAAGGATATATGATATTTTCTCTTTTTTGAAAATAAATTGTATCGTCTACAAAATATAAAAATTGTGTGGCTTTTTTAATTAAGAACAACATTTATTCATTTTCAAGATGTGAAGTTGAATAATCCTTTTCTCTAAAAGATTGTAGATCGATATTCTCTCCTTTTTCATGACATTCATCCCAGCAGAACAGTTGTTTTACCAGTTCTAAACTCAGCACAAAAAAGTTTGAATCCGTGCGGAATCAACCCTTCACTAATGAATTATTGTCTCATGATCCGAGGAAGATTGTAACAAATAGCCAAATAGAAAGATTGCAACAAATAACACATGAAAATGCAGAAAGCCAATCACTGGAAGGCAGTTAACAACACATGAAAGAGACTCCGAAATAATGGAGAAGACGATAACAGAATATGAACTATTTAGTTATAATAATATATCCCGATTCTTAATCATAAAATAAAACAACATAACATAACATAGTCTCTGCTCCAAAGAGCAATAAAATACCAAACACAAAGTTTTTGAATAATAGGCACCAAAACCTTTTTTTTTTTCCTTTTTTTTATTTCTCATTTGAAGAACATAATGTTCTCAATTTCTTTGTACATTCTTCCTCTAGACTATAAGCGAGCATGTCCGCATAGTAGATCGGAGGAACCCGAGAGACCGTATCCACCACGGTACCGGAAGGAACCAGAGCATGACTACTGCAAAGTTAGAAGTTGTCGAAGGATGGATGGATAACTTCCTTGTCCACCACGCAGAGCCGGCCCTGAGATTTTGGGGGCATGTGGCGATTTCTATGTAAAAAAAAATTTTTGGGGTCTAAATAAATTTTTGGGGGCCTATATTCATGTAATTTTTTGCAAAATTTTTGGGGGCCTGAAACAAATGTTTCACTAGGCATTGCCCAGTGCCGGCCCTGCCACCACGGTACTGGAAGGAACGTTTTCTCGATGATGTGTTGGATCAGAGAGGAAGAAACGAGTGTACGGTGATGTTTGTTTGCCGTGATGAGAGTGATGTTGGGGTAGTGATCCTTCTTAGCAAATGTTTCCTTCACATTCGGAAGCTCCACGTCGAGTACCATGTGGAACTGAGAATCGCTTACACCACCACGGAAGATGACAATCTTGTCTGGGCGTTTGCCGCTGGCCTGTTGATGCGCTTCAACAAGTTCGAAACACATCTCACTAAATTTATCAATCTGCCAGAAGCCCCTGTTTCTAGAGCTGTAAAATGGGCGGGCTGATCATTGGTTGTCCATGTGCATATGTAAATAAATCTTATTTGGTAATATCCATTTGTCCATGTGGAAATAAACAGACAAAAATTACTTGATCATTGGACAATGAGCATTAATGGTTTTGGACAATATAGACATGGTCTATCCAATGGTCACAAAAAATTAGGGTTTCTAAATTTTAACATTAGATTCTCCGCCAAAAATCATAAAATCAAATTTTCGTTAAAATTACAAAATCGAGATTTTTCGCCAAAATTACAAACTCGAGATTTTTCGCCAAACTCACAAACTCGAAATTTTCAGTCAAAATCATAAATCAAGTTTCCCGCCAAAATTGCAAAAATCGAGATTTTATGTCAATATCATAAACTCAATATTTCCCACAAAATAGTAAAACCGAAATTTTCCGCCAAAATCATAAACTCGAGATTTTCCGTGAAATCAATATTTCCCGCCCATATGGTCAATTTTTCGCGAAATCAATTTTCTTTTATAGTCAATTATGGACTTAATGACAGCCCATATAAAAATGGGTGTTTGTGAGTTTGGTCTTTAATGGATATGGTCACTCTTTTTCCACAGACAACAATTGGACAAACAGATATGAGCTAATGGACATAGACTCTCCACAGACAACAATTGGACAAACAGATATGAGCTAATGGACATAGACTCGTCCATTTTACAGCTTTACCTGCATCTTTTGCTTTGTGCCAGGGCCACCTCTGTTGGTGTCTCTTAGACATCGCACATAGCACCAGAGGAGGGCGAGCCACGCCATGCTTGTGTTTAGCTCCTTAATAACTTGTTCAAGCAAACCCTGAAGAGCTGTAGCATCAGAAAGCGGATCCGTTGTTGACGATAAGTACATTGTGGGAAACCCCAGCTGAATCCCAAGTACCCGGCAACGATTGATAAGCTTATCTAGAAAGACATGATTGTCCTTAGAGTCGGTGAAGTCAATAAAGCCAGTGCTTGTCTATCGAACCTCTGGTAACTTCCTTGCTCTGAAAATTCCACTGAAATTTCTAATAAATTACAACAGATTTTGAAAGAATTGTGCATTGGTTCTTTTTCTTCTACTAATTTATCACATATACATTGATTTCTTTAGTGGACTATGTTCGAAAATTTATCTTAATAAAATGGTATGTAAAAAAATTGATTTATTTAATCAACATTAAATATATCAAATTTTTTTTTGCAAAATTAAGGATTAGTTACTAATTCAAGATTTAACTTAACAAAAATATTTTTGCATATGTTTTGCTTATTTTTTACATATAATTTTAATTGAATTATAAATATATTTCATATTAATGTATACAATCTTATAAAATTATTTATAAACTATATTTTATAAATATTAAAATCAATTAATAAAAACTAAATTAAATTATAACAATTTTACTTTAAACAAATATATATATATATAATGTTAATTTATATAAAATATATCTAATATTAAGCCAAATAATAATACTCATCTTACAAAATGAGTTAAGTTTATATATAGAATAATCTTATGTTTTAAAAACATGAGTCATAAGCTAGTCATCTTTATTTTTGAGTAAGCAAAAGAACTTTAAAAAGTGATCTTCAACAATATCATAAATATTGTATCATTTTAGTCGTAACTACATTTGATATGCTTCAGTAGCATTTGTATCGGATCATCCTTAAAAATATTATCTTAATAAAATAATATGTCAAAATGTGTATATCTTTTATCATTTTCATTGACGTCAATACGATAATACCAAAAAATAAAATATGACAATACCAAGGCACTTTCGATCAGACTAAACGGGCCGACCCAACCCGATTAGAACTAGTAGAAATTAGGCTATGATGTAATCTCAAGCTCGATCCATAAAAGCTGATACTCTTTCTTTCTGTTTCAAATGGTAAGTTTTTTAGTTAAAAAACACTAAACAAGTGGCTACTTGTTAAAAATATTATTTAATATATAACTTACAATCAATTATAAAAGGGTAAACCTATATCATTTAGTTGGTCACACGATATTCAATAAACATAAAGTTGCATTGTATAGTGTTAAAACTACTAATATTGTGAAAAAAATGTTTTGCTAAAACTACTTATAACATAAAGCATAATGAATATTAGTTAAAAACAAACTTTTTCAGGAAACCCCTTCTTTTAAGCTTGTTGTTTTGGGGTTACAATTTATTTTAACTTTTTAATTATTCTAATGGTTAGATTCTTTGGAGGAAGGACGGTACGTGCAACGTTCTACGATGAAGTGAAGTTCAGTAAAAACGAGTTGGCTCCAGTACCTGGTGAAAGCCTTGGCTATTAAAGAAGATGAAACTGTCTTCTCTACTAAAAGTCTTGATAAAAATAAGGATGAATCAGAAGATTTAAGCTTTACCAAGATTGAACAATAATTTGCAGAGATAGTAAAAAGGGTCGAACAAAATAGCTTTGTTGATATGTTAAGAAGAGAGCTGTCAAATACAGAGTCGTGTTTTGATAGAGTTATGTGAGGTTGAATAAGGTTTTTGAGAGTTGAACAATTCGGGAAACTTGATTGTAAGATTAAGGTTGGATAGATTAAAAATTGATCAATCTCGATTCATGAGCAGAGGCGAATGTACAACCAACAAGAGTGGGGTATCTGCCCTGCCCCCTATGAGTTTTTAAAAATATGGATTTTGTTTACTATTTATAATAAATTTTGGAGAGATTGGTTAAGTTTGCCCCCCATAAAATCTCAACATAGAGTTATATGTTCACATTTTTTAAGGTTCGAAATTGTTGCCCCCATAATAAAATTTTCTAAATCCGCCACTGTTCATGAGCGTAAAGTCAAATTGTTCACATGAAACAAAGAGTGAAATTTGTTGATGAAATTTCTAATAAAAGACAACCGATATTGAAAAAATTGTGCATTGGTTCTTTTTATATAACTAGTTTATGTGTTCTTAATTTTTACATCAGTGATATAGACATCTCAACTAATCAGTTGTTCATGTAAACTAAGTCACATCAAATCCCTGCCTCAGAGTCAGATAATGGTTTACTGGCATTTTTTGCCGAAACGCCAACGTTGAGTAGTTAAATCGTGACGATAAGTCTTGTGATGTAGGATTGAGAGAGTGTGTGTGTGTGTGTGTGTGGATGTGTGTGTGGAGTATTTTAGTTGACTGACTTTAGGCATTTGTAGAACTATCTTTTGGTCTCTCTAAAACCTATGTCTTCTCTCTAGCTTCCTTCAAATGCATCACCGGTTCATTGGCTCCGGCTGCTCTCACAGAGCCGGAGTCGGGTTTAATCTCTTTTGTTTCCTCTTTGCTTTATTTGGGTGCATGCATCATCTTCTTAGCCTTGTTTATCTTCATCTCAATCAGATCCGTGTTTTGCTTGAACCTAGTATCTTGTTGGATTTGCATGTTGGCTCTATTTCTGTCCTTGTTCTTCTTTGGTATTGATCTTCTTCCTTCTCGGATCTTCGAGTGAAGTTGAATCCAGAGTAGACTGGTGCGCTCCGTGTCTTCAACCCAAAAGATCTGAGCCAGATCTATTCTCTTGTCATGCTTCAATTGGCGTTTCCGTTAGTCCTTCCTCGACGTCGCCTCTGGTTCAAGACTTATGTCTTGAGTGATCAGTCTTGCTGGTCTTCGAAGCATGGGTTCTTATTTTGTCTGAGCTATGAACTATGGGACGTATCGCAAGTCGTTGAATTGGCTTTGATGGC